AGTTTAAAGCAGAACTAAGCTTTGCAGCCAAGGAAGCTTCCATCTTAGCCTCTATTTGATTGAAGTTACCATGGTGCCGCACATGTGATCAGTTATGACAACAGCTAATGGATGGCTTGACAGTTCAGCGGAGAGCACAGGTATCAGATTCATGGCATGCCTTGAATGTAACTGTTTTGGAAATTAGTTAAATTGCTGCTGAGGCACTTCCTCTTATCAGGTGATAAAACTTTGTCCCTGTCCACAAATTACTTTTCTGTGTTGTCCCTATCACATGTGCTTCCAGGACATTAGAAGTAGCTGTAGCAATGCGCACTGTGCAGCCATGCTCAAAGGTTTTCTTCATCAGAAAACCAGCCCTGATACACATGATGCAGTGATGTAGCCAACTAAATGTCAACCATTTAAAGTTTAAAAATAGCTTGCAACATAAGAAGATGAAAAAGAGGAAGAGGACAAAATAAGCAGTGAGCACCATATGCCATGGTGAAAAGTGGATGGGGCTAAATTATGCTGGATACTGGACATAGCATAAAGGAAGATTACTTACATGTCCATGCTTTGTGAGCACCCAAGGAGCCAAAACTAGGTGTAATAATGAGTGTTGCAGTTGCAGAATCTGAGTGTGTTAAGAAGTATGGGTTAGGTCTACTTTAAAGTGCATGTGTCCTTTAAAGCAAATAAATTATAGTAAATTAGGAAAAGAGAAAAGGAAAGTACACAAAAAAAAGAAACGGTTTGAGGGCAACTAAAATTTAAGTGTGTATTTTAAGGGGGACTCCCATGCAAAAGTAACAAAAAGCATAGGTCCCCCAAAAATCTGTAACATAACTTGAACATGCAGTCTGGCAGGCCAGGAAAAGGTGGTTGAGCATGTTATCCCCCTCTTCCTAAACCAGAGTGGGGCTTCGTGCTTTCAACATTTGGGGAGTACCTTATCAGGTGGACATCCCTGATGAAGCACCTTGTTCCCCATGTTGATGAGCATAATTTATTTATTTTTATTTATTTCAGGTACTTATATAGCGCCGTCAATTTACGCAGCGCTTTACATATATATTGTACATTCACATCAGTCCCTAACCCTCAAGGTGTGTACAATCTAAGGTCCCTAACGCACATTCATATACAAGGGCCAATTAAGACAGGATCCAATTAACCTACCAGCATGTATTTAGAGAGTGGGAGGAAACCGGAGGAAACCCACACAGGCACAGGGAGAACATGCAAACTCTAGGCAGGAGGTGCCATGGCTGGGATTCGAACCAATGACCCTAGTACTGCCAGGCAGAAGTGCTAACCATTTAGCCACTGTGCTGCCCCATAATGACTTTTTCCCGAAAATCTTGACCAATGGTAAAAATAAGCTGCTCCCAGATACTGTCCTGTCCATGTGAATGAGTACATAGGTACATTGTAGACCTACTCATCAAAAAAATGTAAGGTATGAAAAAGGTCAGTTTGCATTTATTTTGATAAAAAACAAGTCCAACAATGTACATCCACCAGCAATCAAGTTATCCAGCTACATAGATCCACATCAATTATATTCCTGAGAGAAAAGACTAAGGAGTTGTCAATCCAGTTATCTGTGATGGCCGGAGAGCAGCAAGCTGTTACAATTGAATCTTTTAATTGAAGGGGCTGCAATTTCTAAAGCGAGGGGGCATGCTAGCAACACTGAAAATTTTCTACTAGTGGTTAATGCACTGGTATTTCTCTGTGGAGATGTGTTACCCACCAAAGGAAGCAGTATACCTGTCAGAGGAAAAGACGAGGAAGCCTGGGCAAATGCGCCAATGCTCAATATGGCCACGCCAATTCACGCAAAGAAGTGCGCATGTTCATAGGCGGGCGACACTTAGTTAAACATTCCTGTGCATGAAAACACACCAGCACACGCAGGGTGCACTAATTGCTGACACTCAGTGGCCTTTATAAGGACTGCAGCTCTGCTCAGTGGTTGCTGGATTATCGTCAGCTCCTCCCGTTCCTGTGCTTCTGAGTTCCTGAGTTTCCTGTTGACTTCCTGTTACCGACCCGGTTTGATCCTGACCTTGCTCCTGTCTGCTGCTCCGTGTATGACCCCGGTTTTATCCTGACCTTGCTCTTGTATGCTACTACTCTTTGTATGACCCTGGCTTGATCCTGACATTGCTCCTGGCTGCTGTTCTATATTAATCCTGACTCTGGCTACTGACTACATTACCCATCCTCCGGGATCCACGTGTTCTCTGGAGAAACGCATCCTGCAACTGGAGCACCCATGGGTTCCATCTCATTGGGCATTTCCAAGCAGCAACACCACTGGCAACCCGTGCTTCTTTGGGCACTGCACCTCCTGTTTCCACCTCCAGGGGCGCACTGCACTTAGCCGTAAGGGGAGCCCTCTCTCTACTACAGCCACCAGTCAGGTACATGACAATTCCAGTGGAGAAAATCCAAATAAAAGTGAAATATAGCTTTATGAGAATCCGAGTGGCACAAGTTCGCATGGGTCTTTATTTCTACTGCTAGGCCACAGCTCAACCTGCAAAATTCTGGTTCAGTAAAAATTTTGGAAGTAAAACATGGGTATTGATGAATCCCCAAATTGGCAGATGTTGCCATAGTTAGGGCTGGGAACCCTGTAGTGTAGAGTAGTCAGAGAAAGTATCTAAGTAGTCGCAAGAGGTCCACAGAGTAGTGAATGGGGTGTACAATAGATAATGAGTAAGTGCCACCCCTGCCCCGCCAGTGTGAGGCATCTTGGTTAGAGGGTTCTGTATAAAGTGGAAGTCTGCCTGGAGAGTTGGTTATGGGAAGTGTTGCAAGGACCAATGCTTACAAAAAATGAAATCTTCAAGGCTCTGGTTTCTGGGATCTTCCAGATAGGAGGGGAAGCAATGAATGAGAGGTTTAGGAAAGGACTACTTACTCTACATCCCTTTTGACTATGGCACAACCCCCTAAGTCACTTCAACTTCAACTCAACTCTCAGATCTCATGCTTTCTGTCTGTTTACAAGAAATGTGCCATCAACATTTGGATGAATGAAAATAAACTTTGTTCAAATAAAAGAGTTAAAAGGCTTTCATTGTGTGTAGTCTTCCTTTACCTAACCTCAAGATGGGAACAGGTTCTGAAATTAATCCAATGTTTTGTGAGACTTCTAGTGGGGTCCGGTGCTTTAAAGCCTGAGGAAGGTGAGGAATAGGCTACTGGGTGGTGCTGGTTAGGCCAGGTCAGGCCAGGCCAGGCCAGGGGCCTTCTAGCATGCTTTTTCATGGATGATGAGGGGAGTATCCCCTGCCCATAGCACCTCTGAGGACCAACCTATGCCAGTCAGGATTGGGTTAAAGAGTACAGTGCTACCCAGGAATACCTAACAAATTATTTAAAGCTTGGAACAACCTTATTTGCAATATCAGTATATTATATTAATTTGTCACTGAGCATGCACAGCAAGACTGTCTTTGAGGGCATACATTGCACATATGTAAATATAAAGTAGATTAATAACAATAAAAAATAACAATGAATAAATCAGAATGAAGTAGTAGTTCCTAATACCAAGCTTGCATTTTAAAGTATGCATGCAAATGTTGAACTTATGCACTCTGCAATTTAAAACCTATAAATCATCACATTTACACTGTCCCTTAAATACTATAATCAATTCAGGTAGCTGGAATACCATATTAATATATGTGTATTGTGCAATAGTCAAATGATGCATAACAAATGACTGTCAATTCTTTGGGGTCTTAATTACTCAGTATATTATACACTACTTCCACTTGTGTGTGATACTCCAGCCATGAAATCTTTATGTGCTCCGTGTCATGGATTGGATAACATTAGTCACTGTAAGAGTGGCTCCAATTTCAGTACAATATGATTAATGCACATACATGCATTATATTGTGTAAGTGTAATAAGGAGTTCTCAGTATTCATGTCTTAAAGAAGACTTCCAATCAGCTCAAAGTCATTTGTCAGCTATTACTATAACCTTTTTAAGACTTTTGTTGCTCTCTTAGTTTTAATATGAATATATTGAAGGTTGCATGATATTATATGTAGAAGCTAGGTACAAAGTTGATTTAAAACAGAGCTAAACCCAATGGTTGAAAGGTATACCATGAATGATAACTGGCACTCGCTTATGCTCTTAACCAAACTGTCAAACCATCAAATGACTGCTATCATAACTGATGTAGCACCATGGCAACTAAAGGACAAACAGAGGCCAAGATGGCAGCTTCCTTGGCTGTCATAGGATAGAATAGTAGAGTTTAGTCCTTATTTAAGCATTTTGGGAGTGTGTGAGGGTCTTCTTTTAGAGTGTATATTATGTAGGATAAATAACTGTCCACAATAAAAAAAAATAAAAAAATTATATATATATATATATATATATATATATATATATATATATATATATATATATATACATACATACATATATATATATACATACATACACACACACACTGTATTGCAAAAAGTATTGGGACACTTGCCTTTACACGCACATGAACTTTAATGGCATCCCAGTCTTAGTCTGTAGGGTTCAATAATTAGTTGGCCCACCCATGGCAGCTATAACAGCTTCAACTCTTCTGGGAAGGCTGTCAACAAGGTTTAGGAGTGCGTCTATGGGAATGTTTGACTATTCTTCTAGAAGCGCATTTGTGAGGTCAGGCACTGATGTCGGACGAGAAGGCCTGGCTTGTAGTCTCTGCTCTAATTCATCCCATAGGCATTCTACGGGGTTGAGGTCAGGACTCTGTGCAGGCCAGTGAAATTCTTCCTCCCCAAACTTGCTCATCCATATCTTTATGGACCTTGCTTTGTGCACTGGTGCTCGGTCATGTCGGAACAGGAAAGTGCCATCCCCAAACTGTTCCCACAAAGTCTCGATATGCTGACACCATAAGATTTCTCTTCACTGGAACTAAATGAGCCAAGCCCAACCCCTGAAAAACAATCTCACACCATACTCCCCCCTCCGTCAAACTTTACACTTGGCACAATTCAGTCAGGCAAGTACCGTTCTTCTGGCAACTGCCAAACTCAGACACATCCATTGGATTGACAGATAGAGATGCGTGATTCATCACTCCAGAGAACATGTCTCCACTGCTCTAGAGTCCAGTGGTGGCATGCTTTACACCACTGCATCCGACACTTTGCATTGCACTTGGTGATGTAAGACTTGGATGCAGCTGCTCAGCCATGGAAACCCATTCTATGAAGCTCTCCACACACTATTGCTGTGCTAATCTGCAAGCCACATGCAGTTTGGAGGTCTTTAGCTATTGACTCTGCAGACAATTGGCGACTTCTGAGCACTGTGCGCTTTACATATGCTGCCCCCGATCTGTCATTTTACATGGCCTACCACTTCGTGGCTGAGTTGCTGTTGTTCCAAGTTTTTTCAACTTTGTTATAATACCACTAACAGTTGACCGTGGAATATTTTGTAACAAGGAAATTTCACGGATGGACTTATTGGACAGGTGGCAACCTATCATGGTACCACACCTGAGTTTACTGAGCTCCTGAGAGTGACCCATTTTTTCACAAATGTTTGTAGAAACAGTCTGCTTGCCTAGCTGCTTGTTTTTATACACCTATGGCCATGGAGGTGCTTGGAACACCAGAATCCAGTGATCTGGAGGGGTGTCCCAATACTTTTGGCAATATAGTATATATATATATATATATATATATATATATATTTTTTTTTATTTTTGTGTAGTGTTACAATTTTCTTCAGTGACTAGTATATTTCTAAACAAAAACAAAGTAAAAAAATTAGGGAGTAAGGAAGGAATTTTTTAGGGCCAGCACTATAAATGTCCATAACATGAGAATTCACAAATACCAGGGAATGCATGATAAAGGCTTGCATATTTATTTAATTTATCCTTCCCAAACAATGATGTTCTTCATTTATTACAGATAAATCTGTAGTATGATGACAACCTGTCTTAAAGTAAAAATACATATTCTAAACAAGCAGTAAAGGTACTTTAGAACAAGCCCCACACATCTCTCTAATGTTTTGTCATGTATTCTTTCATTTCCAAGCATGTGCAATCTTGGTCGCTTAATTTTTTATGGATAAACACTGTACTGGTTAAAGGAAAATTGTTTTATTCTGTTATCTTCTAAGAAAAATGTTTGTGCTTTTCCCTTCGGATAATTTTGCATGAACAGTTGTGATTGGCTCTGTCTACTAAAGATCAGATTATCGTTTGGTTACTCTGAAAAAGTTTTTTTTCATCTGATTTTCTCATCATATGTAAAAGGCATTAGCTTTTCCAATGAGAGCAGATATAGGCAACCTGCCAGCCTTCTAGTGTAAACATAGAGTAGGTGTTTCTAAAAACTGTTAGAAACTGACTATAAATGGGCTTTAGAGTATGTTATATGATCTTTGAGAATGAATAACTTCAAAATAAAAGGAACTAGAGAGGTGAGTGAGCACTTCTTGAAAAAGTTACTATTTGTTAATAACATGTTTAGTGGACATAGTCACTAGGCACGGGTGCAGTGGATTGTTATTTCTGTCACATTTCTGTTACAGCATTAATATAAAACATCACTGGTAATTGTCACTAATTAAAAATCACTGTTATCTTATTAGATGGTTTGATTATTTTGAACAGTCTAATATGTCATGTATAGCACACAGCTCTCCTTTAAAAAAAATCCCTTGACACATGGTGATGTGATATGTAATGTACACACTGTAATACAGCAATAATTTATTAAAGATTATTTTAGCCATTTTCTTGGGGGGAGATTTTATCATGGGGACTGGAATTGAAAAGAAATTCCACAGGGAGCAACCTGCATTCTGGATTTTTTTCATTGAAACGTTCCTTTGAAACAAGTCTTCCCGTTTGGTGTCTTTTGGGCAGGGGGCCTCCTCCAGTTGTTTCTGCAGCTGCGGACAGGAGGGAACGGTTCTCCATACAGTAAAGCAATTTTGGATTTGCATCTATAATTTTATATATTCACTTACCCAGGTGAATCTTATCAAGTCTCCATAACAGGCCCTCCTAGGAAAACTGGTGGAGTAATACCCGGATATGTGAGACGCCTGATTGCATTCATATTTACTGTGCCAGAATATCCATTGTGCGCTCTTGGAGATCCCCCATGGTTTCCCTTGACCTCCTAAATGCCAAGCTGACCTGGATAATGGTCAATGAACATCTGACCACTATTCTTCATGATAGGATGGCCTATTGTGAGAAAACTTAGGACCCCTGGATGAAATATCTCTCAGCACCATCCTAGGCTGGATTGTGGGTAATATGTGGAACCTATAGAGGATACAAATCCTACACCCCACGATTGGCTCCTCATCCTTTCCTCACCCCTACATCCTTCCCCCCTCTCCACTATTTTCCTTTCTCGCCTTCCATTCTTTTCTTTCCCTCCCTCCTTTTTTATCTCCTCCCTCTTATCTATTCTTATATTTTCCCTTCTTCTGATATAGTTAGCTCAAGACCATGGGGGGTGCCCCCCTCATTGCCTGCAGAGAGTTAGAGGGAGCCCAATTCACCACACAGGCCGCTGTGGTCTCCAACACTAGTTCTGACAAAAGCTTTCACTCTAGTTTTCTCTTTTCTTCTTTCTTTATTGTTATTGACCTTACATTCACAAGTCCCAATAGGACCAATTTGGCTATCAATGACTGCTGATTGTCATTGCTTGTTGCTTATTGTACGTTATTTGTACCAGCCCGGACAGGCTGCAGTTTGTTGACAAATGGATGTACAGTATAATTGACTGGGCTGTCTTGTAACCCCTTTCTTTTAAAATAACACGAATAAACACCATTGAAAAAGAAACAGAATGTATCATATCAGTTTTTTTTTGTCTTGTTTCTTAATGTTGAGTTCTGTGTAATTTCTTCAAGAATATACACATATAACTCTCTAAACAGGGTCATTAGTAAGTAAGTAGGAGGGTATTTTATTCATCCTTTGCTATGTTACTTAATCTCTCTCTCTCTGCTTTCTTCATCACTAATCACATTCAGACTTTCAAGGCAATTTTGAATCTGCAGTAATTGGTGGTTAAAGAATTTCTCTGTACTGGACTTGTTTTTTTTTTGTTTTTTTAGCTTACAGAAGGTTGTTTTAACATAACTAGCAGGTGCATTCTAGGATCACTAGGTCACAGTGGCAGAACAAAAAAGTAACTATTAACCAGGTAAGCTATGGTCCCTATATTGAAATTGTAGCTTGCATATTGATCAGGGTCCACACCATACAGTGTGTGTGATGTCGGGGTGCTAAACGCTACCTGTTTTATCCTATCCACTGAGGACATTCTATTAGGCAAAATACATACGTTGAAGTTTAGAGTAATGACATTGGCAACTTCTTTTCCATTTTTACTTTATGGAATATGATATTAATAAAATTATAATGTACTAAGAGGTTTCTGTTGTGTGTTATTGGTATTGTTTTTGGTTTTGTTTTTGTTATTGTGTCCTCATCCACTGCTTGAGATTTCTGAATGGTCCAGGACCTTTTTTGATTATTTTGTGAGATCATTCTTAACTAAAGATAAAGTGACACTAAAATCTGGTTTAAAAAGAAAAAGTCTTGAAAACTTGAAAAACATACCTTCTCTTGCTCCTAACCTCTTTTAAATCTTCAAATTCCTTTTTTTTTTTGCTGCTGTAGTCCGACTTTTGTTGGAGAGTGATTATGTTCATTGTTCATGGCCCTACCATATGTAGGAATGTAGACACCCTCTTATGCTTGCTCCCAAGATAGACTATGGACTGTGGGATTTGTGGTGTACATGACTGCCAGACCGGAGGTACATGTACATAAGATAAACATAGCTTGGCACTTTCCTAACGCGTATCGTGTAAGTACACATCATCAGCCCCTCTGATGATGTGTACTTACACGATACGCGTTAGGGAAGTGCCAAGCTATGTTTATCTTATGTACATGTACCTCCGGTCTGGCCGTTTATAAGCAGCTGTACCTTTGCTAGTAAGTTCTTTTCTGATTGTTCATTTTTAAATAAACGTTATCACACTATTTGAGGCCTTTTTCCACGGGCTCTTTATTTCTGGGGAGCCTGTAAATCCAGAAGGTCCTGGGACTGTGCCTAACAAGAACACATCTGCAGTGACATCCCTGGATCCGTGATACAGCTTCTCCTGGAACCGATGACATCTAGTGGTCACCCTATAGATGACACCCACCTGATCCATCAACACAGTGGCTGGACACAGCTTCCATCCGGACAGATGACATCTAGTGGTCACCCTATAGATGACACCGCCTTGCTCCAGTGATACAGTGGCTGAGTACCAGGGACAGGTCTTAAATGTCCCATGCGCTTTAACATGCGCTATCTGGTTAGTGCATTACTTGGCTTTTCTTTATCATTTCTGATATCTACTATCCCTGGCTCCTCAAGTGTTGGAGACTGTATACGTATTTAGCACATCTGATGAACTGACGCCGTCTTTTTGCCGATCCACATTCATATGGGATCTATCATATGTGTAATCATTGTTTTAAGTTAGCGCTGCACTTTCATATTTTACCATTTACTCTGGAGGTTCACGAGGTGCTTTTAGTGCCAGCAGCTACCCTATCTACATCCACATACTGCGCTCGATTTTATATATATATTTTATATATATAAGTTTATTTTATCTATTCTGCTACATGCCTTTGCTGAAAAAAAATCCCAGTATGTGTAAATGAATTGGTTTACATGAAAGTTATAGCGTTTACAAATGTCGAAAATATATACTGGGATTTTTTTTTTAAATTTTTACTAGTAATGGCGGCGATCAGTGACTTATATCGGGACTGTGGGACTGCAGTGGACATTCTGACACTGGGGACATCCCCAGTGACACCAATACAGTGATCAGTGCTAAAAAAAAGCACTGACACTGTACTAATGGCACTGGGCAGGAAGGGGTTAACATGAGGGGTGATCAAAGGGTCAACTGTGTGCAGGGAGTGTTTTACTAGGGGGCCGTGTCAGTGTGCTTCACTGTAATCACACTGCTCTGGATGGCTGTGCTGTGCTGACAGGGAGGAGAACTGTTAGTAAACAAAACAGTCCTCCTCCCCGTCGGAGATCTTCGGAAGTCACCGAGCGCTGATGAGTAATTACCAGCCGGGACCCAGTGATTGACAGCAGAG